GGGCCCTTCACGTCAAAGTGTTTCTCAGGCACCCTCACCAAGCAGGTTTGGGGATACTTCATGTTTCATTCTCAGTTTGGATGAAGAGCTGCCTCCCATCTCTTCCTTGTGTGGCACTAGCTTCTTTCCTACCCTTTGATACCTCCTTTCCAGTAACAGCTGTCCCATCTTCCCATACACTTGTGACATTCTGTTCCCAGAGGATGGAAAAGGGGATTTGTTCCTTTAGAGAGCTTTGCTCGTCACACAATGCTTTAAGGCATCTGCCTAGGTTTCTATAATCTGCCACCTTAAAGATGGAACAACAAGAACCACCAGGGCAAGACTTGCCCTGTTCTCCAGCAGCTCCCAAAGCAAGGCAGTGCTCTTCAGCAACATGTAAATGGGAAGTCTTCAGCAGGCACTGGGTTAAAAGGACTTGCAGGGCATCACGGAGCTCAGAAACACAGGCATAGAGCCCCGTAGCCAGACAGTATTGGTAAGGCCTAATTCTTCCTCTTTTCTTTCCTTTACGTGTGCATTAAAGTGCATTTCTAATGTGCTAGTGTGTAAGAAGTGGCTGTACTTCCCACCTTCCTGCTTGCTCTTCTCTTTCCAAGCCCATAGACCATCAGGCTGGGTCTGTACCCAGCACAGGAAGGAAATGCCACAGCAGTGCTTGAAATGCTAAACTTTGGGATGTCCTACCCAAGATTTTCCCAGCAATGGAAGATTATTGATACCGAGTTACTTTCTATTGTCAGGCAAAACCCACACAGCAGTAAGAGGCCGAAATCTTAGCAGGTATAATTTAGCATAGTTTTTATTGAACCCAGAAACCATAGACCAACTTAGACCCGTCAAAGCTGGGATAGCAAGACTCAAAGGAAGTATTCATCAGGGACTGCAGTGATAGGACAGGGGGTGATGGGTTTAAACTGAGTTCAGGTTAGATCTAAGGCAGAAGTTCTTCCCTGTGAGGGTGGTGAGGCGCTGGCACAGGGTGCTCAGAGCTTGGAGCAAGCTGCTCTAGTGGAAGTTGTCCCTGCCCATGGCAGGGGGGTGGAACTGGATGAGCTTTAGGCCCTTTCCAACCCAAACCATTCTATGATTCTACTTAACATGCATAAAACCATCAAGATCTGGGGTTTCATCATAATAGAAAGATAAGCATCTTGCGTCAACATTTAAGCCAATCTTTGGAGAAGGTCCAAAACACACTGGGGGTGAGATTTGCCCCACACACACTCACTCTACTGCCTAAACAAAGGAGAGCCAGGTTATTTCTATCCAAGCTCTGCCCTGTGCTGCAGGAAGAGCAGAGTGAGTTGTGGCAGTGCTTGGACCTGAAAGGCAACACTGTTAGAGGGACAATGTGACAGAGAATCAGTAATGAAAGCGTTAACCCAAGTCTGGGTTTGCATTGCCACAAAGGCAGCAGAAAAGAGGGGTGACCTCTCGGGTTGGATGGCTGAGAAGGCACCAGTTGTAACTTCAGCTGCACGGGCAACCACTGCTGTAAAGTTCTAGCATGCTTCACCAGTTCCTTCTGAATAGGAAACTAATGAGTGGCATCAAACGTGCTGTTAAGGAAAAGCCAAACCTTCTCCACACTTGGGCTCACAGTCAGCAGCTCTGCAGGGCTGGGTTAGGCTGTGGACCAGCCCGCAGCAGTGCTCAGCTATGAAAGATGTTTAGCCAGTATTAAAGCCCTTGTTAAGAGCCATCCACATCTTGTTCACATTTATCCAACAGCCTGCTCCTGCTAAGAAACATTTGACAGGGCAGAGCTCTGTCAAACAGCTCAGAGCTTGTGGCTGCTGTCAAGGGCACCCAAGCCAATGTTGAAAACATAGAAGGAGAATACAGCACACTGTGAAGTCAAAGATGCTGCTGATCTACCTGAACTAAAGCTGCCTACTGAAACAGGCCCCGACTTCCCAGCTCATAACGGAATTCACAGAGCACAGTGTGTCTGTCCTACAAAGGATGTGTGCCTCTTGCAAATGAAGAGGCATTTCCTATGTTTACTATTCAGGTCTATTGTTTGGTACATCAAAAAGAAGTGATCACGCTGGAGGAGGAGAATGTTGTTCTGTTTTACAGAGCTAAAGCTGTCAGTATTGGGTTTTGCCTTGATACAAGCGAAGCAAAGAATACCCCATTCAGATCAAACTCCATTTCCTGGCTGTTGTGGCATGTGGGACAAAGCAGCGAGTCAAACTAGAAGGGAAAAGGGATGAGGAGAGTAAGGCACAGCACACCGGGCACGTCTCCTAGACTTCTAGTTGCCCCAAAGCTAAGAAACCCACAGAATCTCCTTGTCATTGCAAAGCTTCTCAACATCCTCAGATGTGTCCCCAACATCAGAAGGACATGGAGCTGTTGGAGCAAGTCCAGAGGAAGCCACAAGGATGCTCAGGGGCTGGAGCATCTCCCATATGAAGACAGGGTGAGAACATTGGGGCTGTTCAGGCTGGAGAAGAGAAGCTGCGTGGAGACCTCAGAGCAGCTTCCAGTGTCTGCAGGGGGCTACAAGGATGCTGGAGAGGGGCTCTGCATCAGGGACTGTAGTGATAGGACAAGGGGTGATGGGTTTAAATTGAAACAGGGGCAGTTCAGGTTAGATCTAAGGAAGAAGTTACCTACTGGGAGGATGGAACAGGTACCTCATGTGCTGAAGCAGTCCTTGACTGCCTGCTGCCAGCAAGCACTGCTGTCACACCGGGTGCATTCTTCACCTGGAGACCTAACCACATAAATATAGCCTTACAAGTTCCCAATTTAACAGAACTCCAGCAAGGACGGGTGGGCAACAGGTTCTGCAGCACTTGTTCCTCATGGCAATGAGGAAAAGAGCTTTATTCAGGAATTCATGGATTAATATACAGAAGACTAGATATTAAATACATCACATGGGACACTCTCCTCCCATCTTGCTCCAGATCGGTGCACGGTATGGAAAACTTGCCTTGCAAGGAATGTTCTTGTTTAAGTAGCTTGAGAAATTGGATTCCTTTGCTGCTGCTTGTTCTTCCTTAATCTCTCCTAATCGTAATAATGATTTTTTTTGGTCTGCAATGCATCTGACCTACTTGCACACTCTCCCTACCCTGCTGTTCTCTTCTATCTACATTCTCTGTGAAGTATCTTCATTCTCCCTCCCACCCCATTGCCTTTTCCATCCAATTTCTTCCCAGAAAATTAAGATCCTCGGGCAAAAGAGATGTTTTGATTCTCACCACCTAGTGAATGCTGGAAACCACATGCAGGGATTCTTCCCCTTTAACCAGCCCAAGCAATAACCTTTAGCAGTCCCAAGATACTGTTAGGCTACATAGGATTTGGTGAAGTGTTTGAACCACAAGAGACCTACGAAATGAAAGCAATTCCTTTTTTTTTAATCAGCAAAAAAGGAATTTGGCAATTAAAATAAATAAAAGAGTAATAAACCAACTTTGATTCAGGGACAGAAGGAAAATAGCTTTCAGTAGTGGCAAGGGCATCAATTCAGGCGAACAATACACCAAGCATCCTGAATTCTGTCTGATAGCTCAGGCATGAGGGTTTTCATGGAGAATTTACACTTAGGGATTACAGTGCCTGCCCCACTATGGGGTTAACAATTTTCCTCCTCCCTCAGCAATATTAAAACACCAGAAACACTGAATATTGTCAGGCTCTTAAGGCTAGGTACATAGGGCTAAAAGAAATCATACTGGGATGGAATCTTGAGCACTTAACGTGGGTGAGCATTTAAACTTGAGAGCCACGACACTTCAACTCTGGTACAATCCAGGAGGGAGGAGCCTTTTTACACCTCAAGCTCAGCAGTCACCTTATTTTCTACTGTAGCTACCTCCATTTTTAGGACTTTAATCTGAGTTGGAGATACTAGCGTAATAGGAGCAATAAATAGGGGTCTAAAAGGATGCTGGGGAGGGACTCTTCATCAGGGACTGTAGCAACAGGGCAAGGCGTGATGGGTTAGGGTTAATAATCTCTTTCCTCATTTCTGGCATTCTCCACTTGGAAACCAGTAGCAGGCATCTTGCCTCCAGATTCATATTTGAGAGCCAGTACTGCAGACTTTGCACCATTCTGTACCAGAATCCACTTCTATATCTCCCCTGTCAGTGTAAACCCATTCCCCCTTGTCCTGGCACCACCTGCTCTTAAAAATACTGGAAGATTTGGGAAGAGCAGGACAGAATCCTTGACAAAGCTTGACACACACCCCCCCAGCAGTCCCAAGTCCTCTTGTGTGTGCCAATGCTTCTTAACTCGCTGCTTCAGAAACAGTATTCCCCATTTCCTGCAGCACAGGGGACAGGAGAACCCGGGCTCGTGTTCAGGGAACAAAATGTTTAGAGCCAAGCAAGCAAAGACAAAAGGACAAGAGGAATCAAAGGGTGCTGCATCTGATCCAAGAACACAGGGGCAGTTAGAGTTTCACGAGTAAATTGCAATAAGTGGCAGGTACTGTGGTAGTCGGAGAGCTGAAAACCAGATTTCCTCTGCAAGCAGCATTACATAAAAGAAGAACTTAATTTAAAGGGACAACCATCCTCTCTGTGTCCTTTCCGCTGCTTTTAACGCTTCCGTGACAAACCAGCAAGACACCCTGATAGTGCAGCTTTACCCCCAGATCCCTGAGGGGGTTTTTCTGGATGCCAAGCCGAAGTACAATGAGGATACATGGCCAGATTCAGTCTGTCTCTGGCAAAGCAAGAGCTGAATCCGGACCTCCCACAGTTCAGGTCAGTGCTCGCAATCACGGAATCCCAACTGGTTTGTGTTGGAAAGGACCCTAAAGCTCATCCAGTTCCAACCCCTGCCATGGGCAGGGACACCTTCTACTAGAGCAGCTTGCTCCAAGCCCCTGTGTCCAACCTGGCCTTGAACACTGCCAGGGATGGGGCAGCCACAGCTTCTCTGGGCCCCCTGTGCCAGCGCCTCAGCACCCTCATAGTAAAGGATCCCTCCCTTTCAATGCCAACACCCCCCTCAGCACACGCACACTTCCAAGAAGGGGTGGGAAACTGGGCTCAAGCTGCCCTGATTTTCTTGATTAAAATTCCAGTGAATCATCTCTTGATTCCAACGTGCGGAATCCTGCAGATGGGATGTGCAGAATCCAGAGGAATGCTGAAAGACATCGTTTTCTCCCTCCTGTTCTCCATTCCACACATGAAATGAAGGTACTGGGGGCCATTCACAAACCCCACCATTCTAATGAACAGTGTATGCTGTCTTCTCAGACACCTCACAGAGGCTGAAGAGCTTCATCCAAGAGCAGCGCTTCTGCTTGCACTGTGCCTCCAGTGGATTCATTACAGGTCTCATTCCCACTGCCTATCTTGCACTTGTCAGAAGAGCTGCACAGAACTCCCCTAGAAATGAGAAGAAAACATATCCTAGAATAAGCAGGCTTAAAAGAAAAAGCAGCTTTTGACTGGAGTATATACATCTAATAGCTACTGATGATGCGAAGTCATGGAACCTGATGCTAACAAAAATCAGGTATCCCCAGAAGACACACAATAATAAATGTTCATTGCAAATCCAGCTCCTGAATCTGCTGCCTGCTGAGAGAATGAAGAATGACTCAGGCAGACCCAGGCACCTTTTCATTTCAGCTGCAAAACTGCTCAGGCTTCTGTGAGGATGCTACAGAAAGGTAAATGGGGGGGGTTTGCAACCAGTGCAAAATGGGCAGCCACAGCCCAGCCAGGAGCATCCTGGCCAGTTCCATAATGAATAACTGCCAGGAGGATTCCTGCCTTCATTCTTGGTTTATAAATGCACGTTTTCAGCCCATTTATGGAACAGGGATCGGTTCTTCCATCACAGACACATAACCTTATTCCCTGTCGTATTTCTGTTTATTAATGCCACTGCAAACCCTGCAGCAGTACCTGGTGCCCCTCCTTCACCTCTGAGCTGAGAACAAAGCTGTTATGCTGTTACCTTCAAAAACCTTCAGCAGCTCCAGTAACAGAACATTAGGCAGCAAAACTCTCATTTATTAAATACATTGGGATGCGCTTTCTGTTTCCTGATGGGCACATTTAATCAGCTTGTGTTTTCAAGGTGTTGATAGCACGTGGCCCTGCTCCAAAGACAGCCTGAGGGCTTCCAGAGCACAAGGGGTCTCAAAATCACAACACAGCACCGATGATGCAGCACTTTTAAACAGGTTTCCAGATGGAAGGAGGTGCTCTCCCTGTCCACCTCCTGACAGAAGAGCCCAGCAGGTGAAACAGACCTACAGCTCTGAATTGGCATGTAAAGTATATATTAGGGAACTGTCCTTGTAAGGGACGTTTCTTATCCCTTGTTTACTTGTCTTCGGGCCACGATGCTTGGCCCAACTCTCATTCTAGGATGCTCAGAGGCAGAGCAATCCCATAAAAGCATTGCAGACTTGATCTAAGGCCAATTTCTCTCCAGTGTCAGTTAAATCAATCAATGAAGGAACCTTTTAGCTAAATTCCCTGCTTATTTCTCCTCCTTTGTCTTTCCTCCCCATTGCCTGAAGCCACCCTCAACCTTCCCCTTCCTGCTGGTTGCAGTGCAGCTCTGGTTCACAGCATCATCTCCTGCAGCCGTTTTCTACAAGAGAACTTTACTCATCCCGTTATTGCTACACCCCGTAGCACCTCACATCTGCTCTTGATGAAGGAACTGCCACAGTTCTCATCATTACAACAGCTGGATTCATTACAACAGCTGGAGGGTGGTGAGGTGCTGGCAGAGGGTGCCCAGAGAAGCTGGCAGTGTTCAAGGCCAGGTTGGATCAGGCTTGGAGCAAGCTGCTCTAGTGGAAGGTATCCCTGCCTGTGGCATGGGGTTGGAACTGGATAAGCTTCAAGGTCTCTTCCAACCCAAACCAGGCTGTGATTCTATGTTATACGTCCCGTGTTGGGGGTTAAGCCACTCTCTAACAGAGATGGAGAATCTAAGACTGAAAATGCAAGACACTGTGCACTTCTTACAAGGCAGTTGTCCAGCTTGTGGCAGCTAAACCTCAGGCTTGATCCAGTCTGCTCTGTGCACTCACTTCAGGCAATGGAGAGACATGAATAGAAACAGGCAGCTCTGGCCACAGAGAGTCATAAATATGCAAATTATTACACAACCTAATTTGCATGAAGTAGGATGGGGTGCAGCACCAAAGCGGTCACTGTGAAAGGGAGGCAGGGGCTGGTGTACCCTGCGTGTTTCCTTTCCATCACAGCGTGCCTCCGATATTGTCCCCCAGCTGAGGAATAGTGCTGGGCTCCAGGACGTTGCTCTATTACCCTCAGCCCTGTACCTTTACCCTCTCAGTGGTGTGCTATGATCTTAGCAAGTCACAGAAGTGCTCAGCATGTGCTAAGTCTCCTCAGTCTTGCAGGACCCCTGCTTGCATGAATTCATCTCGATCACTTTCTATAGAGAGAAACTGTATATAAACTATAGGGAGAGAACTGCAATACAGTCCCACCTCCCTTCCCACCAAGGTCCCAGCAGCTAGGAGCTGGCTCTCCTGGGAGAAATAGGCATGTGATTGACCTAACTAGTCACTTGACTTCACAGATGCTTCATGGCACTATAGCTCCAGGAACATTTATGAGACTAGAAAGGAGGGGTTAAAGAGCAAGCAGTCAAAAGAGCAATTTTGCTCTATCCCAAGCACAGCACCACATTTGCACGCAAGGAGAAATCAGCCCAGTCCCTGGCAGAATTCCATTTGCACTCATCTGAACGGATGTGACCATCAAAGAGACAGGCTGGGATAGAAAGTTCTACTCTGCTCTGTTTGTATTTAGACATAGCTGAACTTTACACAGGCCCAGAGACTATGTGTGTACACTGGTTTGGTACCATTCAGGGCTTTAGAAATGAATTTATTCAGTTAACACTTCTCATCCTCCTCATTCCTCATATAACCAAACACAGTGTTTTCCACAGAGGTGCCAGAACAGGAAGAATTTGAAAAGGGTGGAAAACCATCCAATTCTTTGGATAAAGGCTACAGAATATTGGAATTCACACTGGTGTTTGCAAGCATTTTGAGTTTTCAATGGCTACTTCAGCCAAATCATTTCAGAAGAGGGCAGGTTTTCTGCTAAGCAGTCTAAATGACTGGTTCCTTTAAAACCTGATCGCAGTATATCTTTGTGAGTGTAGAATTCACGTGGATTTACAGTGCTGTGCACATATACAGAAATGTTGGGTTTGTCCTATATGAGTCAGGAGGATTCTCATACCTAAAGATGCTAAAACCCAAAAATAGATGAAAAACTCAAGCCATAAAATACAGTAGGGACAAAACCAATCTCCTATCTGTGCTGAAAAGGAGATGTCTGAACACAAAACATGCATATGGAAACAGTCACAGAGTGACCAGCTCAGCCATCAGCCCCACTGAGCCTGTATATCCATTGCCAGGAAAAGATACATTTATTTCCTGAAAACATGAGCAGGAATATTGGTAAAGACAGAGGCTTTCTCTCTCCTCCCCCAGAGCCCTCTCAAACATGCCAGGTTTGCTATTGAAGTTACTTGGATGAAGGCTCTTACCACTAACATCTATCTTGGGGAAAAAAAGCCTGGCTTCAGTTGTCAATAGCAATGCTGCCATCAGCTTTAACAGAGGCAAGATACCACACTTGGCATCTCAATCCTAACTGAATTACTGCAGTAAGCAACTGAAATGAAGATTAAGCTAAAACCTCAGAGCAGCTAAGACCTCAGAGCAACCTTCCGGTATCTGAAGGGGGCTATAACGATGCTGGAGAGGGACAGTTCATCAGAGACTGTAGCAATAGGACAAGGGGTGATGGGGTCAAACTGAAACAGGGGAAATTCAGGTTGGATATAAGGGAGAAGTTCTTTACTGTGAGGGTGCTGAGGCGCTGGCACAGGGTGCCCAGGGACGTGGTAAATGCCCCATCCCTGGTAGTGTTCAAGGCCAGGTTGGATGGGGCCTTGGGTGACATTGTCTAGTGTGATGTGCCTGTGGCAGGGGGTTGGAGCTGGATGATCTTAAAGTCCTTTCCAACACAAACCGTTCCATGATTCTATGATACTAAAGCTGAAATTAATGAAACTGATTGCATTTTTATGATGCTTTTTTTCTGGATGTCAAACACTTGCTTTGTAAAGACTGATAAATGAGATAATCTTTCTGTGCTGCAACCCCCTTGAAGCACCAGTCCAAATTCAACACCCCTATATAAGAAACTACACAATAGTGTGGCTCCCACAACCCTGCACCAGAAAGGGTTCACCTTTCTCCCTGGGTTGTATCTATCCAGGAAACTTAATCTCTAAATGGTGGCAGGAATTGCCTCAGTCGTGTCCCAAATCTGGCATGAGGCATGACTAATGCTTGTGATGTGCCCTGCAATACTGGGAGGAAAGGTTCTATAGGAATGCAAAGCAGCTTTCAGGAACAGAAATACATTGTCTCTCACTCTTCCTTTTCCCCATCTTGTTTGTTTCCTTTCACACTTCTTTGTTGTGGTCCCGGCTTACTCTGTGAACAGTCTTGTACTGTCTGGCAACGGCATCAGCATCCTCTCAAAGCAAACATCAGAAATCTCCAAATGCAGCTGATTGTCTTAGATATTTATCATTTCACTCCAAGAAAAATATTTACCAGAAGCAGAACATGAAGGAAAGATACAGTGTTATCTCCCATGAGCATCTTCTCAAAGCACAGCTGATATAACTAGCGATCAACATAGCTTCTCTCTACAGCTACTCTCAGCATCTGAGGCATTTCTCTGTTAGCGTTCCTGGACCAAAAAGGGCCTCCAACTGTTCTAAGCCAGGCAAAATCCCCTTCTTCACTTTTCCTTAGTGGAAAAAACAGAGTAGAGAAACAAAAGAACACATGGAACAAGCCCCATGGATCAAAAGGTCTTCACTCGGCAGAAAAACAACCCTGCTCTTGATAATAAATACATATTGCACCAGTTTGAAACCAAAAACCCGGGTCTGGAGGAACTGACACTTCCACCATTGCCATAATGGCCGCAATTCCTCCCTCTCATCCTTAGGGGAAGTTTCCTTTTCCTGAAAGCACTGGCTGCTGAGGTGATCAGGGCCGAGTGACCTTCAGATCCCACATGGAAAGGGCAGACAAGCCCTGCGGCACACAGCAGCAACCTCAAACTGGCAAAGGCTGAAGCAATTCACATCAGTCCTTTCCTGTTTGGGTGAACTGGATACGAGGGCTCAGTACTTTTCCTTCGGGTTGAAGCGTTTCCTGAAGAGCCATTAGAGTTTTCCAGAAAATCAACAAGAGCAAGGAGGGAGGAACAAGAAACAGGGAAAGTCTGAACAGGGAAAACGTTCTCCTTTTATTCTTTCCTTTCCTAAGCAAAGCTGTTGAGACAGAAAGCAAAGGCAGCAGCTTCAAATCACAAGCCACAAGCTTGGTGGGAGGCAGTTAAAGGGGAAATGCAGCACCGAGTCAAGACCTTTCTTTGATCTCCAGTTTTCCCAAGCTGCATTCCCATCGGCAGCCCACCATTTGTTTTCAGTTAGACAGGCAGAATGAAAACTCCTCTGTTTGGGAAGAGCAAACAAATTACACAGTGACACACAGCCAAAATAAGGAAGAATTCAAATCTCAAAAGAGCTGATGGCATCTAATGAGGAGGGCAAGGCTCATACTTGGGGATGCTCTGGGTATCTTTCATCCAGGAATTTCAAAGTCGCTCAAATCAGTGATGGGTAGATAGGGATCACCTCCTCACCCATTACTACATGGAGCCAGCAAGCTGGTGCCCCAAGGTTTTATCAGCAGCGAGTGTGGTCCTGGCGCATCCTTAATGAAGTTGACAGGTTTGACAGGATCAGAGCAGTAGGTTGTAGCAAGCACCAGCACAGTAAACGCCATGATTTTGCCCTGTCAGCACTGTAATCGATGTATTTTCTGCATCCTCTTAGTCCACACAACTACACTCTTCCTCATTTTAGGGGACATGGTACAACATCTTCATGATGGTCGAAAGAGGAGATCCTGACCCCCTACTCTGCTCTTCTGAGACCTCACCTGGAGTATTGTGTGCAGTTCTGGTGTCCTCAGCATAAAAAGGACATGGAACTGTTGGAACAAGTCCAGAGGAGGCCACAAGGATGATCAGGGACTGGAGCACCTCCTGTATGAAGACAGGCTGAGAAAGTTGGGGCTGTTCAGCCTGGAGAAGAGAAGGCTGCGTGGAGACCTCATAGCAGCCTTCCAGTATCTGAAGGGGGCCTGTAGGGATGCTGGGGAGGGGCTCTTCATTAGGGACTGTAGTGACAGGACAAGGGGTAACGGGTTCAAACTGAAACAGGGGGAGTTTAGATTGGATCTAAGGAGGAAATTCTTTCCTGTGAGGGTGGTGAGGCACTGGAATGGGTTGCCCAAGGAGGTTGTGAATGCTCCATCCTTGGCAGTGTTCAAGGCCAGGTTAGACAGAGCCTTGGGTGAGATGGTTTAGTGTGAGGTGTCCCTGCCCATGGCAGGGGGGTCGGAACTGGATGATCTTAAAGTCCTTTCCAACCCGAACTGTTCTATGATTCTATGATTTACTGTCTCCTGACACGTGGAGCCCCAACCCCACCGACGTCCTCAACTCCGGTTCTGTTTGTTGGCATCTGGCACCGCATATGCTGACACAAAGCAGTTCGCGTGTCTCAGAGCTATTGTTCCAGACTCTGCACATTTACAGTTACCATGAGTTACTCCCAACAGGCTCTGAAAATGTTCATTGCCACAACCAAAAAGTCTTCAAATCTCCTAAAGCTCACACCTCAAACTTCTGCATGCTTCCAGCTTGCTTTAGTCACCCAATGCATTAGCAAACAGTGCTATTTAACCACTCTGCATAGCTGGTGTCACCAGAGTCTTCATGTAGATCACATACTACACTTACAGTGTCTCACAGGTGGAAGTGACAACCAAAAAACATCAAATCCCTAACTATTCTATGATTCTATAAAGCACATCGGGTCAACTACTGAAACACAACACAGGGGTAAACTATCAAGAAGCTCCTACGCTACAGCATTGCAGGTCCCTTCATTCAACAAGGGACTTTGTGGCTAACACTTATAAAAGTTTGGATGGACTTTTTTTGCGGATAAACCAACACCATCTCAAGCCTGGGTTTAAAACAGCCGAAGCTTAACCAGAACAGAAGGCTTTGTATTGTGAACGGGGTGTGTAAATAGCGTGTCCACGCATATGCATGGCCTGTGATAGAGGTAAAGCATCCTTCTCGAGCTGGCACTGACACAGTGGAGGCACAGTGTAGCAAACCAATTAATGGTTGTAGTAAATCAATTACAGCACCAAGCAAACTCCAGGGCCTCTTTGACAAGATTTTGAGTGCTCTCCCCCGACAGGAATGCCTCAAAAGCTTCACACAGCCCCATCGCCAACACCAGCACACACTGAGGCCGATGCATGCCCCACCAAGCCCCTCGCTTGGCCCCAAACAACCCCTCTATTGATTTAGCATATCCATTATAACTCTCCAAGAACCAGAGGACAGAGAGTTTTGCCCATTTCTGCCATCAGTGCATTAAACTGTGACCAAAGGAGGTTGGAGCCAGGCTTCCTATGGATTTCGGGGGAAAATTAAATGCTTAACTGTCCCTGAGGTTGTCTGTTGGATGGAAGGACACTGATTCAGCTGCAGCCTTAGGTTTCCATAGTGGTCCTGTGTTACTTCTGATATGGTTTTGCTTCATGCTTTCATCTAGTAAGCATAAAGTTATAAAGGAGGTGGAAAAATGTGTTTGCTGGTGTGGCATCACATGTGCGATTCAAAGCTGTAGTTCAGCAGTACATAGACACGGTAGTGGTCCCCCAGCCATGGCCCCGGGATCCAGTTGTAGGAAAGGACGACAGAGATTTTCTTACTCCCACAAGTCGCTCTTAAGACACAAGGATGAATGGGGATAATCAGTTCTGCTAAAAGTAACCGATGGCAAGGTGTGAGGTTCTTAAAAGCGGCTCCAAAACTCTTGTTTCTCAGAGAAAACCACGTTAACCCCCCTGTGTGTTTTGTTACCTGAGCAATATTTATCACCTGAAGACTAAACAAGTATCTCCTAACCCACACCTCCCCTCCACATCCCCTCGCACCACACCGTTACCCCCCTCCACCGCCGGCCGGAGCTGCGCCCTCCCACCCGGTCCAGCCCCTCCTTCCCCGGCGCCGGGGTGGAGCCAACGAGCGGCGGCAGCGCGCATGGGCCCGGCGGCCCTTTCTCTGAGCCGGGCAGCGTGTGTGTGTGTGGAGGGGGAGTGAGCCGGACGCCGTTTCCCCTCACCCTCCTGCGGGGCCTTTCCCCGTCGTCGGCTCACCTGCGGCGGCCATGGCGGCGGGACGCGGCTGGTAGGCGGTGTTTGGAGCGCCGGGGCTCGGGCCCCTCGGTGCGGTGGAGCGAGGTGAGCGTGGGGATAAGGGCTCTGTGTCGCGATAGCGGCCTCAGTATCGCGAGGGGCGGCCCTGAGGGATGGGTGAGCTGAAGAGGGGATGCGCGTCGCAGCCTCGCCAACGGTTTGGACCCTTGGAGCCGAGGGATGGGCCGGTACCTCGGGGCCGTTCTCACGGCGATAAATGACCTAAACCGTCGTGCTGGTTTTAATTATTATTATTATTATTATCATCATCATTATTTATTTGTGGTTTGGCTGCCCCCCCCCGTTTTCCCTTTTTCCCCGCACGCCTTCAGTGCCCATCCTGCAGGGAAGGGCTCTGAGGCGGATCAGTTCCCTTCTGGCCACGGGATAACGTTGTAGGAAAGGAGGGATAATCGGCATTCCAGCCTGCCGTGCCTCTGAGGCGTGAGGAAAACGGCGCTGCGCGCCCCGGCTAGCGTGCAGCTGCCGCCCGGCTTTGTGCTCGGCCTCCTTCTCCATTGTCCTTTGTGGTGCTTGCAACAAGGCTCCTTTAACGCCGTGTTAGAGCTTTAGAGGTGCAGTGGAGGGCGGTGGGTCAGCGAGGGTGCTGTGCGGGTGACATGGGTGCTTGGAAGCGCGGTGCGAAGGGAGGAGCGCCCAACAGGCGTGGTACAGACGTGTGTGTGTGTGCGCACACACGTGTGGAGACGGGTTTGCGTGCGAGATGTTGGTTATCTCTCCCACCAGATCGCGGTGGGGAGGTGATGGAAGGGTCGTAGCGAGGAGAGATCCGTAACGCGTCTGGGCTCTGGGCGAGCAATGGCTTCAACTGGAGGAGAAGCTGAATTAACCTCAGTTCCGTGTGTATTGCTGTTTCCCTTCCTCACGCTGCTTCTCCTGCGAGAACGTGTCTCGGACCTCCATCTGGACCGGACCGATGGCTGTGAGGGATGTTAAGGTGATGGGAACGAGCCATTTTATGTTGCGCCTCTGTACTTTGCGCACAAGATCGCACAGAAAACAGCACTTTGGACAGAGGCTTGGACTTGGGTGTCCAATTTGTGGGGTTGGTTGATGCTGGCTTTGGTAAGACTGGAATTTAGAGGAATGGGTGGAAAGGCAAGAGGACAGCAGCTTAAAACATGCTATAAACCTCAAGTGCATTATCTGTAGGTGACCAGACAGTCCTCTTTGACATGGAACAGAATAAGCTTCCAAGACTCTTTAAAGTGTATTTGTTTTGAGGTTGGAGCATGGGTTTAGATACCTTTTTCTATGTGAGAGAGACAAATCCGGTGCACGTGCTTGTTCAGAGCTGTGCGGTATCTTCCCTGCTGCACAGATGTCTTTTCATTCCAGCTTTGCAAAATTAGGTTAGCCTTGAGTGAGCAATTTATTTTGGCTGGTAATTAAATTGTTACGTATTCCTCATGGTAAAAGAGCAAGCAGATAGTTCTTCTGCTTGCACTGATTTATTTTCATGAAACTACTGGGGGAAAGAACAGACCTGAAAGGGTTAACATGGTATCGATACCGTGCATAACATACAGAAATGGTACTCCATTGCCAGAAGCAAATTAGTAGTCAGCCTTTTCATCTTGTGGTCATAACCTGGGGTTTGTTTCAAGTATATAGGTCAAGTTTGCCAAGAGACAAAGAGCATCAGAGGCAGGTCAGCAGAAATATCAGTGGGGAATTGTTTTGCCTTGTGGACTTTCCCTATGGTTTGTAGCTGGGATGTTGCAGTGCTTTTGTGCCCCTCGCTAATGGGTTGTGAGCTATCAGCATCCCAGTTCTGAAGAGTCTGTTTTTCTGTGATGGAAAGTGAGGGAAAAGATGATGTCGTTGAATACAACATGGGGAATAATGCTACTTTGGCCATTTTCCCTTGGCCTTCTGTTTCTTTTGTGGACGTCTGAAAAGGAAATGTCATTTTGCTGTTTGAGTGCGTTGTTGTGCCTGAAGTGTCAGACCACACTATGGGGGTGATTCCAGTCAACTTCCCCCGTTTCAAACCAAACACGTCAACTACTGTCATATGTTTATACAAAAATTCGGTGTGTTTTGCAGTTCTACATATTTCCAAAAATAGGTGATGTTTTTCATTGTTATGGCTGGAAGAGTTTGTATAGGAGGCAAAAAATGGAATGGTTTCCCTTGGCCTTTGCATCCTCCTCTCCACAAGTACAAGGAAGATGTTGGCTTCTTCAGGATTATGTTCATTTGCACTTCCTCTCACAGTATTCTTATCTGTGTAGTTCTGTGTGATTCCAGCGGTTGGGACCAAGGCTGGAGCTGTTGTCTCATAGCTCGTGGCTCGATACCATTTTGGCTGATTACAGGGTTAGGGCAGAAAGGGAAGAAGCTGTAAAGAGCTGCAGGAAAATGAGTACATTTTACTTGCAAAGCCCTGGACTAATTGCTCTCGTGGCACTGTAAATGTGGGTGGCTTCTGTCAGATAGCATGTGCTCATGCAGGGCCAGTTCCCTCCCCAGTTCCAGGATCTGGGTTCAGTGTGGTTTCACGCTGGGTTTCAGTGGGCTGCAGCAGCATCTCCTACAAGCAGAGCTTTTGAGCTTCATGATCAGGGGATTTGATGATGAACGTGGTAAGGCTGAGCCAATAAAGCAGCCTGAGATACCCATTCTTCTCCACATCCAGACCCATTCTCCTCCACCCATGGTAAGGCTGAGCCAGTAAGGGGCCTGAGAGACCCATTCTCCTCCACATCCAGACCCATTCTCCTCCACCCATGGTAAGGCTGAGCCAGTAAGGGGCCTGAGAGACCCATTCTCCGCCTCCAGACCCCTGACAGACCCATTCTCCTCCACCAGATTTCCTGCAAGGATTTGAACTTGAAGATGAGCACATGCGATGTCTGTGCGTGTCGCAGTGAAAGTTGTTAGTTTCACTGCTTGGGTCTGGTAGCTTTCCTCAGGATGTCTGTTACCTTGATATGAAATAAATCAACTGAAAGGTCTATCAACTTTTAAAGCCCACAGCTGTTTTCCTTGGGAAAAGAAGTCAGTTTGGTGTCTGGGTCACTGAGTCTGGTCAGTGGGAGCCTGTGGATTTCTAGAGTGATTTCTATTGTGATGCTAATCCCTTGCGCAGGCTGGCTGTGCGAGAAAGGGATATGCATACTGAGGACGCTCAAGGGAAGCCATTTGGTTTAGTTATTGTTATGCAGATGGAGTCTTCCAGCCAACCAGCATTTGGAGAATCACATAACCTGAGGTTATAGTGCTGGGGGTCAGCGCCAGTTTGGTTGAAACCGTTTCTTTTCAGCATGAATTTGGGGGCTTTTTGTTTGGTTTGGGTTTGTTGGTTTGTTTTTCAATCCATGTCGTAGCTGAAAACAAATTGGTGCTTTACAATCAGAGTTGGGAAACTGAAAGTTTTCAGTTTTAAGCCTTGTGTTGGGTAAAAAGTGTAGGAAGGCAGCAAAGTTGGCACTCCATTGACACAGCTATGAGCTGCTCAGTCGAATCCTGCCTCTACTTCTGATGGGGACTCGCTGCCTTTCCGCATTGCCTCAGTTTAGGCTGTGTAAAACACTTCAGACCGTTGCACAGCCTGTGTGGGAGGGTTCATAAATGTGTAAAACCAGGTAAAATATGTAAGTCTTACTCAGCAGAGTTTATTTGTTTGCTGTGTATTTGTTCCCTAGAGGTTGTTTTAGGAATAGGAAGTACTGGAGTAATGGCAAAGAGAAAGGAATGCTCCAGGTTAGTCTTTGGTTGCATGTTATACGTGATGCAGCTGTATGTGGTTTTCCTCCTTTTAAAGATCCCAGCTAACACCATGGGGGCTTCTGCAATATGTTATTAGGGTAGGGTTGATGTTCATGTATTAAGAAGCCTTTCTGTGTTTTGTGTTTTTTTTTTGTGTTGCTGGAGTCCAGAGTAGATCAGCATAGCACATTTTTTGTCTCTCTCGTGTTGCATGCTTTGGAAGTGTGCAAAAATAATTAAAAGCTGCCCTTTAAACTATTTAGTAAATTGGATTTGCTTTTACCAGCAGTGGCACAGAAAGTTAATCGTGTTTAAGCTGCTGGTGACTTTCCCAATCTGATTTTACCTGGCAAGAAACTTTACTACCCAGTTGTTAAATGCAGTTAATGAAGTGCTGATTGTTTAAGCTGATAAACCAATGCTACCATGTTTACTGCAATCGCTTTGGTAAATGTGTGTATGTTTCCCTATGTTATCATCTTGCTTTTTGTTAAACACAGTATTAACTACCATCAGACTTACAGTTAGAATCTATTTAGATGCTATTGTCAAGTGATGGTTATGACATTTAACTGTTATTATCCACTGGGTGCACTTTGGCTCCGTCTTGGTTACACATGTGTAATTCTGGAGTTCATAGTGTTATCTCTGAGTCGATAGCTGAGAATATGGCGCAGCAGCTTCGGTCTTTTAACCTGTGGTTTCGAGGATAAAACTGAGCCCATCCTGTTGATGTGGCTTGAAGTCACCAGCTGTAGCAGTAGTTCAGCGCAAACTACTGATCAATGACTCATTCATGCTCTTGTCACGTCAGTTTCTTTGGCTTGAAGTCACTACTTGAATCAATAGTTCAGCGCAAACTACTGATCAATGAATCATTCATCCTCTTGTCACGTCAGTTTCTTTTGCTGATGAAGAAGCTGCAGTTGCTGCCCCTCCATTCCCTTCCTGATGTGCCCAGTGCTTTGCCTGTCGACATCTTGTCCCTTGCTGGTTGCAGGTGAAAAGCATTGATTTAGCATATCCATTATAACTCTCCAAGAATCAGAGAACGGAGAGTTTTGCTCATTTCTGCCATCAGTGCATTAAACTGTGACCAAAGGAGGTTGGAGCCAGGCTTCCTATGGATTTCAGGGGAAAATGAAATGCTTAACTGTTCCTGAGGTTGTCTGTTGGATAGAAGGACACTGATTCAGCTGCAGCCTTAGGTCTCCATAGTGGTCCTCTGTTACTTCTGATATGGTTTTGCTTCATCTTTTCTAGTAAGCATAAAGTTATAAAGGAGGTGGAAAAATGTGTTTGCTGGTGTGGCATCCCATGTGCAATTCAAAGCTGT